GTCCTGGTCCCTTTGCAGAAAAACAGCCCCAAAGCATGATGTTTCCACCCCCATGCTTCACAGTAGGTATGGTGTTCTTTGGATGCAACTCAGCATTCTTTGTCCTCCAAACACTACGAGTTGAGTTTTTACCAAAAAGTTCTATTTTGGTTTCATCTGACCATATGACATTCTCCCAATCCTCTTCTGGATCATCCAAATGCACTCTAGCAAACTTCAGACGGGGCCTGGACATGTACTGGCTTAAGCAGGGGGACACGTCTGGCACTGCAGGATTTGAGTCCCTGGCGGCGTAGTGTGTTACTGATGGTAGGCTTTGTTACTTTGGTCCCAGCTCTCTGCAGGTCATTCACTAGGTCCCCCCGTGTGGTTCTGGGATTTTTGCTCACCGTTCTTGTGATCATTTTGACCCCACGGGGTGAGATCTTGCGTGGAGCCCCAGATCGAGGGAGATTATCAGTCGTCTTGTATGTCTTCCATTTCCTAATAATTGCTCCCACAGTTGATGTCTTCAAACCAAGCTGCTTACCTATTGCAGATTCAGTCTTCCCAGCCTGGTGCAGGTCTACAATTTTGTTTCTGGTGTCCTTTGACAGCTCTTTGGTCTTGGCCATAGTGGAGTTTGGAGTGTGACTGTTTGAGGTTGTGGACAGGTGTCTTTTATACTGATAACAAGTTCAAACAGGTGCCATTAATACAGGTAACGAGTGGAGGACAGAGGAGCCTCTTAAAGAAGAAGTTACAGGTCTGTGAGAGCCAGAAATCTTGCTTGTTTGTAGGTGACCAAATACTTATTTTCCACCATAATTTGCAAATAAATTCATAAAAAATCCTACAATGTGATTTTCTGGAGAAAAAAAATCTCAATTTGTCTGTCATAGTTGACGTGTACCTATGATGAAAATTACAGGCCTCTCTCATCTTTTTAAGTGGGAGAACTTGCACAATTGGTGGCTGACTAAATACTTTTTTCTCCCACTGTATATAGTCTTCATTCTGTTTAGCCAAGATCTTGTTTTCGTAGTATCCTGTAGAAAAAAATAACACTCCCTCCAAGAAGTGTCTCGGAGTAGGCAGACGTGAACATCAGAGGCATCAACCACCCCACCCCACCCCTCCTTCTCCTCCTCCTCTCTCACACGCAACACATGTGTACTTAGGTTCTAGGTTCTCAGAGGTAGTGGTTGGGTCTACTCCCATGCAGGTCATATAACCCTGTAGCAGGCTAACCACTACCATCTGTCCTCACATTACATACATGCCCACCCCACCGCACTCTCTCAGGGCTCAATGGCTTCCACACGGCGCCCTGCCATCTGAGACATACCCTCCCCTCTCTAACCCTGTCCCCACCCCCCAATAACAGAGGGGGATGGGAAAATGTGGCTGGGGGGTGGAAAGGGGTCAGTTTAATCAGGACATTTATTTCCAGGGGTTTGTTTCAGGCCTGTGCTGGTGGAACAGCCTCAGATGAGACAGTAGTGAATCACCCAACGGGAATTTTCGGTTTTGTTCTGTTCTAGTCTATGGCTGGTGTCACTATCAGGGCTCTTCAACCCTGTTCCTGGACAGCTACCATCCTATAGGTTTTCATTCCAACCCTAATCTAGCGCACCTAATTCTAATAATTAGCTGGGTTATAAGATGAATCTGGTTAGTTACAACTGGGGTTGGAGTGAAAACCTACAGGAGGGTAGCTCTCCAGGAACAGGGTTGGAGAGCCCTGCACTAAACGGTGTATCTTCATTTATCCTCCACGTCTATCTTGTGGAGAGGCCATAAAACAGCAAGGTGGTCAAAACTGCAATAATGTGTCCCATATGATATCAGCTAAATGGTCATAATAATTGATTCACAATGCCAAGTTTTAAAACTGAGTGGTCACACAACTTGTCCTAAAGTCCACTTTAGTCTTGCGAGCTAAACACTTTAGTCTCATTTTCGCGAGGAAGCTGGAGATCGAGGTTAAGGTCTCACTAAAGGAATGAAGAAAACACCCAGGCGTTTCATCTTAGCAAATGCAAATGTCCTGTTCCCGCAACGACAAATGGGAAAACATCAATTTCAAACATTTCACTATGATAGATGGACTTTTCTAGCCCTTCCACTCTAAATAAATAAAACAAACAATAACCCATATATATTACTCTTGTTCCGTCAACCTATATATCGTCCTGTTGGTTTAGCGGCTATGTGCGAATGCAAATTTACCCTAGGAAAATTATTAGGACTTAGGTTAAAACTCTGCTGTTTCTCATAGTGAGCTGCATGAGCTACCTTTATAAGGCTTGGGCCCTGGTGATGACACACACTATAATAAATCACAATGCTGAAGAGAACAAGGAGGTGGTGTTCAGGCCCTCTGATATATACTTATTTAGGGTGGCGGGGCAATTCATCTAGATGTGTTGTGTGAGGGCCCCAGGCACATTCAACACGTCCCGGCTGCATACATTAGCTTCCATGATGTTGTAGCGTTATAGAGTGATTGCCCATGGGAATACATATAGCCATTGTTTATCACAGAAAGCATTTCAGTTGATCGAAGATAGTCCGTGTTGCTCTCATTTTCAAGGAGCTATCTTGTCATAATGCTACCGATGCTACTGTTCTGTGTAATATGTGGTAGGCCTATGGGGATCAGCCGTTGTGTTCTGTCATACACTGAGTGTACAAAACATTAGGAACACCTATTTTCATAGACTGACCAGGTGAATCCAGGTGAAAGATATGATCCTTTATTGATGTCACCTGTTAAATCCACTTCAAATCAATGTAGATGAAGGGGAGGAGAAAGGTTAAAGAAGGATCTTTAAGCCTTGAGACAACTGAGACATGGATTGTGTATGTGGGCCATTCAGAGGGTGAATGGGCAAGACAAACGTCATTTGAACGGGGTATGGTAGTAGGTGCAAGGCGCAGCGGTTTGAGTTTTTCAAGAACTGCAACGCTGCTGTGTTTTTCACACTCAACAGTTTCCCGTTCGTATCAATAATGGCCCACCACCCATAGGACATCCAGCCAACTTGACAAAACTGTGGGAAGCATTGGAGTCAACATTGGCCAGCATCCCTGTGGAACACTTTCGACACCTTGTAGAGTCCATGCCCTGACTAATTGAGGCTGTTCTGAGGGCAAAAGGGGGTGCAACTCAATATTAGGAAGGTGTTCCTAATGTTTTGTCCACTCAGGGTATAACTACAATTGTTCTTAGGAAGGATATTCACTAATCAGTCGTTTTATCAGCAGCCTGGGGTTATAATATAAAGTGAAACCAAGAAACTTGAATCTGTAATGAAATCTTTTTTTTTTTTAAGGAACCATAATGGAAATAAGTCTCCGACTTCATTGTGATATCCCGGTCACATTTTTATACTATGTGTATGTATTTTTTTCAACTGGCATATAAAATCAATCAATCAATCTCAGATTTTCAGTGGAGCTCATTTTTTGTAAGTTGCCTTTTCTTTATTGCCTTTTGTTTATGGCCAAATCCACACATATATTGTATGCGTTAACATTCCTCTATAGTTAGTTTTGCGACCAACACATAGGCTGCATTTACACAGGCAGGCCCACTTCTGATCTTTTTCTACTAATTGGTAATTTTTACCAATCAGATCATCTCTTTTGCCAATAAATGGGCAAAAGATCAGAATTGGGCTGCCTGTCTAAATGCACTCATATTCCCTTAGGATCATAAGGGATACATTTACTGGTGAGGTGAATTGTTATCCAGGGGCACCACCTGGTGGTGAAGGCTATAGCATTTCACTGGAAATGACCATGTGCTAGAACAAGTCAAACAAGGCAGATAAAGAATTTACTGTAACTGGCCTCCGAACCCATTCAAAATGGTATGTCTTTATTGGAAGGCGAATAAGTCTAATTATGACTAGTTAAATTCAATGAAATATAATATTATTGGGGGAGATGGGTGGGGGTGGGGGTGGGGGTGGGGGGTGGGCAGGGATTCAATCAGGACTTTCGCAGTGGTGAAACTCCCCAAAATGTGTTGCTTTTCTATGATTGTTTTCAGCAGATATGTATTAAATTTTTACTGTTTAAAGTACCAAGGTGATGGTGATGTTGTAATATTTTTATTGTCTCGCACATATTATTACATCAGACTGTGATTAATATGGAGTTTTATTCAAATTGAGAAAGAGGTGGTAAAACCACATCAAATGACACACACAAAAAAACAAATTTGTTATGAGATACTGATAATAGTAATAGTGGGGTTGGGAAGTAATAAAGGGGAATATATATTTTTTAAGGATATGTATGTGTGTATGTGTGTATGTATGTATGTATGTATGTATGTATGTATGTATGTATGTATGTATGTATGTATGTATGTATGTATGTATGTATATATATATATATATATATGTAAACATGGCGGATCGGAAGTGATGCAGACAATTACATTGATGGAAGTTACAATCAATCTGCAATATTAAGCTGATCTACCCCCTTTAAAAAATTTAATAATAATAACCAACCGTTCACGCACATCAAGTACACTCGACAAAGGAATACAATACACAGAGTTAGGCCACTCCACTGAAATGCATTGTATGTTAGACATTAAGACAGTAGCTTACTTCATCTTTGGGTGCCATCAATCTTGTGGTAAAAGATGCTCTAACTAAAAGAGCAAAAAACATTCTAAATAAGGTTCATGTTTCCGCTGCAAATGTTTCATTCTACCACTAGATGGCACTGTGGGCCTATTTTTCAGGGGGAGATATTCCTGTTCATGCCACAGCAATCTTACTTTCTTTCCCTCCATCTACCCTACCTCTTTCTGCTTCCTCCTATCTCGATATCTCAACCCTCAGTACTCTTTCTCCCTGTGACTCATTTTATCCCTCCCTTTCACTGTCTCTCCCAACCGTCCCGCTCACTGCCCCTCTCTCCCTCCCTCTCAGTGTCTCTCTCTCCCTCCCTCCCTCCCTCTCTTTGTCTCTCTCTCCCTCCCTCCCTCTCTTTGTCTCTCTCTCTCTCCCTCCCTCTCCACCTCTCTCTCCTCTATTGTGTGGGTAGGATCTGTGTCTCGCCTCCGGTGGTGGTGACCTGCATCAGACTGCCCGAAGCTGGACGATCCGCACCAGTGGCCCAATTGAAGAAAGTTCTAGAAGACAGAAAAATAAGACTATGAGAAAATAAGAAAAATAAGAGGATGGGACTATGGGTACTAGTAGTCACTACTCATAAGTGAGTGAAAGTGAAGCATGACTGGCTTATGTGATATAAGAGAGTTCACTTTTTAAGAGCTGGATGGGATTAAGTTGTTTTCTATATGTCAAATTCTAGAAGGAAGTTCAGGAAGACAAAAAAAAGGCTGTGTACTACTCCCTTTACAGAACAGCGCAAACTGGCTCTAACCAGAATAGAAAGAGGAGTGGGAGGCCCATGTGCACAACTGAGCAAGAGGACAAATACATTAGAGTGTCTAGTTTGAGAAACAGGCACCTCACAGGTCCTCAACTGGCAGCTTCATTAAATAGTACCTGCAAAACACCAGTCTCAACGTCAACAGTGAAGAGGCGACTCCGGGATGCTGTCCTGCTAGGCAGAGTTGCAAAGAAAAAGCCTGAGACTGCCCATCTTAATTGTTTCTTTTTATTGGCCAGTCTGAGATACAGTGAGGGAAAAAAGTATTTGATCCCCTGCTGATTTTGTACGTTTGCCCACTGACAAAGAAATTATCAGTCTATAATTTTTATGGTAGGTTTATTTGAACAGTGAGAGACAGAATAACAACAAAAAAATCCAGAAAAACGCATGTCAAAAATGTTATAAAATTATTTGCATTTTAATGAGGGAAATAAGTATTTGACCCCCTCTCAATCAGAAAGATTTCAGGCTCCCAGGTGTCTTTTATACAGGTAACGAGCTGAGATTAGGAGCACACTCTTAAAGGGAGTGCTCCTAATCTCAACTTGTTACCTGTATAAAAGATACCTGTCCACAGAAGCAATCAATCAATCAGATTCCAAACTCTCCACCATGACCAAGACCAAAGAGCTCTCCAAGGATGTCAGGGACCAGATTGTAGACCTACACAAGGCTGGAATGGGCTACAAGACCATTGCCAAGCAGCTTGGTGAGAAGGTGACAACAGTTGGTGCGATTATTCGCAAATGGAAGAAACACAAAATAACTGTCAATATCCCTCGGCCTGGGGCTCCATGCAAGATCTCACCTCGTGGAGTTGCAATGATCATGAGAATGGTGAGGAATCAGCCCAGAACTACACGGGAGGATCTTGTCAATGATCTCAAGGCAGCTGGGACCATAGTCACCAAGAAAACAATTGGTAACACACTACGCCATGAAGGACTGAAATCCTGCAGCGCCCGCAAGGTCCCCCTGCTCAAGAAAGCACATATACAGGGCCGTCTGAAGTTTGCCAATGAACATCTGAATGATTCAGAAGAGAACTGGGTGAAAGTGTTGTGGTCAGATGAGACCAGAATCGAGGTCTTTGGCATCAACTCAACTCACCGTGTTTGGAGGAGGAAGAATGCTGCCTATGACCCCAAGAACACCATCCCCACCGTCAAACATGGAGGTGGAAACATTATGCTTTGGGGGTGTTTTTCTGCTAAGGGGACAGGACAACTTCACCGCATCAAAGGGACGATGGACGGGGCCATGTACTGTCAAATCTTGGGTGAGAACCTCCTTCCCTCAGCCAGGTCATTGAAAATGGGTCGTGGATGGGTATTCCAGCAAAGGAGTGGCTCAAGAAGAAGCACATTAAGCTCCTGGAGTGGCCTAGCCAGTCTCCAGACCTTAATCCCATAGAAAATCTGTGGAGGGAGCTGAAGGTTCGAGTTGCTAAACGTCAGCCTCGAAACCTTAATGACTTGGAGAAGATCTGCAAAGAGGAGTGGAACAAAATCCCTCCTGAGATGTGTGCAAACCTGGTGGCCAACTACAAGAAACGTCTGACCTCTGTGATTGCCAACAAGGGTTTTGCCACCAAGTACTAAGTCATGTTTTGCAGAGGGGTCAAATACTTATTTCCCTCATTAAAATACAAATCAATTCATAACATTTTTGACATGCGTTTTTCTGGATTTTGTTGTTGTTATTCTGTCTCTCACTGTTCAAATAAACCTACCATTAAAATTATAGACTGATCATGTCTTTGTCTGTGGGCAAACGTACAAAATCAGCAGGGGATAAAATAATTTTTTCCCTCACTGTATGGCTTTTTCTTTGCAACTCTGCCTAGAAGGTCAGTATCCCGGAGTTTTGCACCGGGGCCTCCCACATGTCCTCAACTTAATGAAGCTGCCAGTTGAGGTCCTGTGAGGCATCTGTATCTCAAACTAGACCCTCTAATGTATTTGTTCTCTTGCTCAGTTGTGTACCAGGGCCTACCAATCCTCTTTCTATTCGGTTAGAGCCCGTTTGCGCTGTTTTGTGAAGGGAGTAGTACACAGCATTGTACGAGATCTTCAGTTTCTTGGCAATTTCTCGCATGGAATAGCCTTAATTTCTCAGAACAAGAATAGACTAACGAGTTTCAGAAGAAAGTTATTTGTTTCTGGCCATTTTGATGCTGTAATCGAACCCACAATTGCTGATGCTCCAGATTATCAACTAATCTCAAGAAGGCCAGTTTTATTGCTTTTTTAATCAGCACAACAGTTTTCAGCTGTGCTAACATAATTGCAAATGGGTTTTCTAATGATCAATTAGCCTTTTAAAAATTATGAACTTGGATTAGCAAACACAACGTGCCATTGGAACACAGGACTGATGGTTGCTGATAATGGGCCTCTGTACGCCTAAAGAATCAGCCGTTTCCAGCTACAATAGCCATTTACAACATTAACAATGTCTACACTATATTTCTGATCAATTTGATGTTATTTTAATGGACAAAAAAATTGCTTTTCTTTCGAAAACAAGGACATTTCTAAGTGACCCCAAACTTTTGAACGGTAGTGTATGTCCATTAAATTAATATTTTCATCACATTACAGTATTATTCAAACCAGACATTTGGCTCCAGATATCTTTTGGCAAGGTGTTGATTTTAACAATAGAATAGAATAGGCTATTTTCCAGCATTGCCATCTTCTGGTGAAATACTGGTATACACCAATTTTCTTAAAAAGAAAAAGATTGTCTATAATTATAAATAATAGTCATACATTGATCAAGACCCTGGAATCCATCTAATGATGGTCTTTGAGCATAAATATATGGTACATTTAATTTTAAAGTTCAAGATCAACTAAATATCAGTTAAAACACACAGTAATGTAAACAACCCATCATCTACTATATCACACTCACTCTGAAATGTACTCCAGTGGTGTCCAGGAACCAAAGTCTGCATCAGGCATGAACTGCCTGTTCATCGGCGTATCCAAGGTTACCCTGTGTAATGAAGTCACATGATAGTGATCTGGCGGTGGTAGGAACTGACTGCCTGAGGCCTGAGGATCTGGCCCTGGACTGATTTTAACAGCTCCATGTAAGCCCCTTGTCTACAGATTAAAACACAAAAGCAAAGCTAAAGCGTAGAGATGATATCTCTATTGTCTTATTTACAGCCAGAAAGCATCCAACAACCTCTTTGATGAAGGACTTTCACTGTTATATTTTGAGATGAGCATGATAATTGCTACATAAATACTTGCATATATTGAAATATGATTTTAGATATCTGTTGTATTAGTTGCATGTTTGAATGTGCACAGTTGCAGTGAATAAAGCAACCCTCCCCCTATTCTTATTGGTAGTGCAGAAGAACTGCAAGTCATGGGGGTAATGCTAACCATATGTGACAGCTAGTAGTAGCCTGGCAGGTGGCCTCAGTCCAACCTCATGTAATTGGAATGTACCATAACAGAGCCCTGAGATTATTGACAATAAAACTCAGATACAGGCTTCTCATGGTGACATTGCAAAAAAGTGCTTTACATGCATCAGTTAATCAATGAAACAGTGTATACAGATAGCTGCTCATGAGGTGAACACAAGAGTGACTGAGGGAGTCTTCCTCCTTCAGCACAGGCAACCCCCTTCGATCCTCCCAGACATTAAGGAGGTCAATTACACCTACAACTGTTTCCTATTTCCTTCCTTCTATTCGTTATTTGCCCTTTGACCTCTGTTTCTGCAAATAAATTAAACTCCTAATGACTTTCTAATGAGTGCAGGGTTTTCCTATTCCTAATTAGTCAATAAACTTGGCAGGCAATATGATTACTCACGGTAGTATGGCTAGAGCCACAGCTCCAGGGGGCATCCCACTGTCTTCTCCGGCTAGACTCTGACAGAGCTGGTGGACTGCTGCTTTGGCCATGCCATAGCCCACCATGCCTGAGGGAGAGAAAGACGGAGGGATGAAGAGGGGGAGGGTGATATAGGAGAGATGGGTGGATAGGTGAGTTGTCATTTATACAACAGCCAAATCAGATAAGCAGAGAAAACACACCAATAAATCTTACTATTATAACATGGGACATGAAATATACACAATAAGTGTTACAAAGTAATAGATGTGATATTACAAACATAGTATATTTTGAAGTCACCAGCTGACTACACATTTCCTGTTCATATACTATAGACAAATATTCTGGGTGCTTTTGGTTCCCAAACTTTGCCCATTACAGTTGTATTGAGAGATGACTGCTTGTTCCACAGGCATGCTTTTGACTTCCCATCAATGTTTGTGTTTGGAGCATCTGGAAACAATAAGCAGCATTTTCCACTTAGAAACGCTTCTTTGAAGAATGTAATATGCTCTCCCCACACTCAAATAAATGGCAGAGGCATGCCACAGCTACCTTTGAAGAATGGACCAATGAGAGAAAGGGGTGGAGCGTTAGCTCTTTCTTAAATTATTGTTCTCTCTCCAAGATACTGTCCTACTAAACTGAAGTGGAACATATTTCTCAATGGAACACAGTCTTTGGTTGGGGAGAGACTGTCAGTTGTATTTGTTTACATAGATGTGCTCCAAACTGCGTTAGGATGGTTTATAGGAAGTGTGTTTAGAATCCATTTCCCCAAACAGGATTAACAGACTTGCATGCTGAATCACCCAAAGTTAAATCAATGTTATTTTACAGTTCAACCTGACTTTTAAATCTAGGGTGAAGGGTAAGGGTCATAGGGTGCTCACATGGTTAACTAACCTCAGTCTTTAACCCCAAATCAACCCTTAATCTTTCAGTCCACAATGGAATGTCTACAATGTAGCTTACTCTTAGTCTGTGTCTGGCTTTGTAAGACTAAGACACCACTGGACACCAAACTGCCCAAAGGTAGTATATCAATATTGGGAACTCAGTAAATCAGACACACAATTAGCTGGTAAAGCGCTTAAGTATTAAAGCTAATATAAAGTTTGAATATAAGCACAAATAACCCCTAAACACATGCAATCTTTAAGCACTACTACGGTCTTCCACTGTCTTGTTTTTTTGTCAATAGTACAGAGCATTTGTATTTTGATTAGGCCTAAGGCAATCAATGTTTGATAAGGTATGGGGGAAATGCTTTACCTACATTATAAAATGAAAGGTAGTTTTAAAGATGTCTTTCTAAAACTCACACACTTCACATAAAGGCAGCTCTGAACATTACCTGAGGGGAAATACTGTAGATACTTTTTTAATTAAAACAAATATAGGCATACGTTCTTCAATATCAAAACCTTGTTCGTATTATTATTTTTTAAACACAGAGACAAGAGTTAAACTATAGAAAACATCCCCAAATAATATTAGACATACAACTGTCAAAATAGTCATTTTAAACCAACCCCCCTCAGGGAAATCTCTACGATTTCCTGGCCTGTGTCTAGTTTAGCACTAGATGCTACAGTAAGCTACATTGCAATAGGAGAACAGCACAGCACACTCTAACCACGTGGAGAGACCCAAATTCTGCTGACTCATTCGCCTCCCCAATCCGACAGCCAATGAGAGCGGGCGCTTTGTAGCGACTGCTAATCAGGGATTTTAGGTGCCCTAGTGTCAGGATTTGTATTGTTGTCAGGGCCATCACATGGGTAACACACCACACAGGGAATGGCATGAGTGCTTGGTCCTATAGGTACCATCACATGCATACATGGTCTAAAATATCAGACAGCATTGTGTGAAAAAACATAGTAACAATTTCTGTCCTCATTATTGTCCGACATCATGAAATATCACTATGTATATCACATTAAACATGTTACTCATATTTTAGTTCCTATGTCATAGGCTTATTTGTACCCACGGGTTACATGTTTTACAAAGTGTTTGATGACATAAGCTGCTATTTGTTTTGGCTGCTTAAATGGTGACGACAGTAGATGTAAGCCAAAGTCCCTCAAACATTAAAGTAGGAATTAAACGGTGGTCAGAACAGAGGCACAATCTAACAGAGTCAACATGACAACATTACAGGATAAAGTAATAGAATGCATAGTAGAATAAATTAGAATACCAGTAGAATATTTTAGAACAGCAGTAGAATAGAATACCAGTAGAGATTAGAGGTATGTGGTATCTTACCACTAGTGCCACCCAGTGATGCTTTAGCCCCAGCCAAAGTCAGCAGTCCCCCTTGCTTCAGGTGCACAGCAGCCAGGTGGCTAGAGATGGTAGAGGTCCACACACTCTGCTTCCACATCATATCTGTGTTTTTGTACAAGTCTAAAAAAGACATCCATAAGATAACATTTTGTTTGAGGAGCAACATTGTAATAATGAACGAACATATAATTAAATAGAACACTGTACAATGGCACAAACAAACATCCCTATTGAATTCCTGATGAGAATTCAGCCTAAGGGGAAATTGGTTTTAAAGCATTCATATCACAGTGTGTTCAAAATTAACTGATGATATCTCAGGAAAATGCTGTTGAACTCTGACCTTTTGAGCTGCAATTTCCTCCTGCCCAACCACCTGCCACACACAAGATGGCATCCACTTTCTGGTCCCCTAGCAACTGGGCCACATCTGCTGTCACCTGCAGCAAGAGAAAACAGTCCATTATAAAAAAGGGCAAGACTCTGGCTGTTTTGCTAATATATATTTTTTTTATCATTTGGAATGTCACCACTTCCTGTGTTTACAATTTTGTTCCCATCTAGCTCCCACAATAACGAAGAAATCAATTTAATCTTGCATTTAAAAAGACAACTTCAATATGGCAATGAATAGAATAGCCCCCTATAGGCCTATGCACGATCATAACCATCGAGTCGAGTTTTTGATCGTGGAATAGAAATTACTGTAATTATCCAGCGTTTTGCAAATGGAAAGTCAATTATCGTTTCGCTTGACATCGGATCATTCACTAAGTCAAAACTGTCAACATCACAGGGAGAGCACGTGAAAGCGCGCTCCTCCTTACCTGTCCCGCTTGCTCTGTAAATGACTCGGATAACTTCACCAGTACGTTCGCGTTTGCCTCCTCATTGGCAACGATATCGATGCTGGCTACCCACTATTGTTGGAAAATAAAGAAAACATCGAAAATAGGATGATGGTATCGAACTATCCTGCAAAGTAGGCTATTTATTCAAGATGCAAGTGATTATATGTTTTCTGATAGTTCTGGGCTGGCATCGTTCAACATTCAAACGTCTTGATGGTGACAATTTCATATGGTTTAATGTCCTTTTCCTTGCTTCTTACCATATCATCTACTCAACAGCGCACAATATTTCGTATTTGTATTCTATATGTATTCTTTCTTTATTTTTTATGAACTATAGCACGCTACTCACCCATCCTTTAGATTTGAAGTGCTGAACAATTTTGCTACCTAGCGCGCCTCTTCCTCCGTAAACGAGTACCCGATTGGCAGCCATGCGTTCTTTACTATACGCTTTAGCAATGATGACTATTTCACGAAACGCGACATTCATATATATGTAGAGAGAGAGAGAGAGCGAGAGAGAAAGAGAAAGGGGGACAGAAAGAGTTACACCCACCCACACGATTTAAAGAGACACACACAGCACATCAAGAGGCGGACCTTTAGTTCAATAGTGTTCTAAATTAGTTCGACTATTAGAACATTCTGGGTGCATAGGTTACACCATAATTAAACTCAGTGGAGAGTTTGACACTAATAAGTGGCTTTGATATTATACATGCTTAACATGATTGAATGTAATCAATACTAAACATGAGTATGGGTTAATTGATACCAGGCTCCAACATGCACAAAGAAAGCCACCACACCATGGCAAACTGTGAAATTGATCATGCATTTAATCCAGTGGTGTACACCTACACGTACACGTACACCTACACACACACACACACACACACACACACACACACACACACACACACACACACACACACACACACACACACACACACACACACACACACACACACACACACACACACACACACACACACACCTACACACACACACACACACACACACACACACACACACACACACACACACACACACACAACACACAATAATGATGTGCATAGTCATGTATTCAGATCAAATCAATGTATTTGGATACAGTAGCAGTGAGACAGTAACATCTTATGACACCAGCCTGGCCTGTGTGGGAGTACAACCAAGTCATCCTGAGTACAGCGTGTCTGAATCTGTCACAGCAACACAGCTCAATGAAATGTCATCAAAGCATTTTCATGCCCTGGGCTTTCACTCACAGTCAAACATATCAGACTAGATGTATAATTGCACACTGATGGCGTATGGATTAGCTTCTGCAGTAAATTGCACATCCAAGGAATACACATTTGAATCAACACCAGAAAATGAGACAGCAAAATTCAAAATGTTTATTCGCATAGACTAGTATTTAATCTCATGCCGCTTTGACCAGGTAATGGAATGAAAGCATTTTCCCCTGTATTTTTCTATGATTTGTGCAGTTATTAAACAGCATATGGTTTTTGTAGGATGCAGTAGTACATAAAGTGATGATTATGATGTTGAACAAACTGCTCAAAGGGAGTTGTATTTGCTCTTCTAGACTTCAGCTATTGTTAGGAGGCCGGCATAGCTGGTTTCTCAACCCCCAGACGTCATTTATCAAGGTGACGATGAAGGCCGAAGTCAACATGACTATCAACACTGCTTCCCCGACAGTTATATACCCCTCAGTCCACACCTACTTTTGTTCCTATCATCATGCTCAGCATGCCTCCATCCCTCCTCTCCATCTCATCAAAAGCGTGGGTAACAGTCTGTTTGTGCTTTAGCCAAGTCCTGTGTCATCACAACAACTAAAGCACAAACAGACTTCCACCCAGGCTATCATGTCATTCATCCATGTTAAATAGCGGTTGTGGTTGTGGTTGTCAGTAGGCCTAATTCTGGGAACACCGTTAAAAGATAAATGAAATGGAGAATAATTAAAAATGAAATTGTATATTTTGAAGACCCGCCACTTCTTCAGTTCGACCACTAGATGTCATCAAAAGACTGATACAATTATTCAGAATGTAAGCACTGAATGGGACTTACTGAGGGAAAATATGTATTTCATGATCAACAAAGGCAAAAAAAGTTAACTCAAGTTAAGAGGAGATAATTAAAAAAAGTTTATAAGCTTTTCCAGTTTGATAGCCTTTGTCTTATGCTGGCATACTATATATTTACCAAGCATTAGGCCCTACCAGTTTTATAGAGGTGACTTACTAGTAGATAGAAATCCGTCAAGCTAGTTAGGCCGACAGCCCAATGGCCCACAGGTGAACTGACCTTTCATATTGTGAGGTAGGCAGTCGCAGTAAGGAGGCAGACAAGGAAAGCCGGTGCAAATCCCCACGTTGAATATCTCAAAACATATTAACAGAGAAGGAGGGGAATAAGTTGACGAGACAGTGGCGACTGTACAAGATATATACAACAAGAATAACAAACAGGATGTTGAAACAATAACCAACTGGTATGAATTAAATAATACATAATTATTTCCATTATTTAAAGGAACTCAGTTCGGCTTTAAGCATACTCTTGAAAGTCGTAATAATAGAATGCACAAGATGCAGTTTGGAAATTGCGTTGTGCATCATCAGTTCCTCTTGTCATGGTAGTCATGGCATACTTTAGAGAGATATAACTTGTCAGAAATGTCCAGATCAACTAGCCCATGTCAGCTAAGGTTTTTTATTTAGGTTTTTTAGCCCATAGAAATTGTTGTAATGTTTTTGTCACTCAAATATCACATGAATACACAGTAGACATGGCAAAATGCATAGAAATGCAAGAAAATTGGCTTTAAAACTGCAATATTTTCTTTACACCCCATGACAAAATGTGTAAAAATGCAGGAAATAAGCTTTAAACCTGCAAAATTCTGTCCAAAAACAAGAGGGATGTGAACAGTTTGTGTCATGAACAGTGCTGAACAGTGTTCCGTAATGCTGGAAGGGGGGCCCCGAGTGAAAAAGTTTGGGAAACCCTGCCCTAACACACAGGCCTGAAACTCATAGTTATGCTGGTTTGCAAAATGATGTGTAATTCCTACTGGAATCCAGCCAAAATGGGGATATCCCATATATAATTCAGAAGGACAGCAAGTAAGAAATGATATGAGACTACCTAAAGCATCTAAACTGGAACAGCCATTTCAGTAACGGGTGCAATAAGTCCAAGTAACAGATTGGAAAAGTTTCCCAAGGCATAAGCTACTCTTTTTTGGGTCCAGCAAAATGAAGGAAGTTATACATTTTAAAAACTTTACAATACATTCCTAACAGATTTCACAACATATTAAGTGTATGCCCTCAGGCCTCTACTCTACTACCACATATCTATAACACAAAATCCATGTGTGTATAATGCGTATGTTATCGTGTGTTTGTATGCATGTGTCTATTTTTGTGTCGCTTCACAGTCCCCGCTGTTCCATAAGGTGTATTTTTATCAGTTTTTTAAATCTAATTTTACTGCTGGAATACTTGATGTGGAATAGAGTTCCATGTAGTCATGGCTCTATGTAGTACTCTGCGCCTCCCATAGTCTGTTCTGGACTTGGGGAATGTGAAGAGACCTCTGGTGGCATGTCTTGTGGGGTATGCATGGGTGTCCGAGCTGTGTGCCAGTAGTTCAAACAGACAGCTCGGTTCATTCAACATGTCAATACCTCTCACAAATACAAGTAGTGATGAAGTCAATCTCTCCTCCACTTTGAGCCAGGAGAGATTGACATGCATATTATTCATGTTAGCTCTCTTTGTACATTAAAGGGCCAGCCGTGCTGGCCTGTTCTGAGCCAATTGCAATTTTCCTATGTCCCTATTTGTGGCACCTGACCACACGACTGAACAGTAGTCCAGGTGCGACAAAACTAGGGCCTGTAGGACCTGCCTTGTTGATAGTGCTGTTAAGAATGCAGAGCAGTGCTTTATCATAGACAGACTTCTCCCCATCCTAGCTACTGTTGTATCAATATGTTTTGACCATGACAATTTACATTCCAGGGTTACTCCAAAGAGTTTAGTCTCCTCAACTTGCTAAATTTCCAAATTATTCATTACAAGAGTTAGTTGAGGTTTAGGGTTTAGTGAATGATTTGTCCAAAATACAATGCTTTTAATTTTTTGAAATATTTAGGACTAACATATTCCTTGCCACCCATTCTGAAACATAGATGTGTCAAGTGCACCGTCTGGTTGCTTGTTATTACACACCACAGACCAACAAATATTATTCACAACAACATAGGAATCACTACAAAACTTATTGTACAGTGACTTGCAAAAGTATTCATCCCCCTTGGTGTTTTTCCTATTTTGTTGCATTACAACCTGTAATTTAATTGGATTTTTATTTGGATTTAATGTAATGAACATACACAAAAATAGTCCAAATAATTTGTTTCAAGAAATTCTAACAAATAAATAACAGATAGTGGTGCGTGCATATACAGTGGGGAGAACAAGTATTTGATACACTGCCGATTTAGCAGGTTTTCCTACTTACAAAGCATGTAGAGGTCTGTAATTTTTATCATAGGTACACTTCAACTGTGAGAGACGGAATCTAAAACAAAAATCCAGAAAATCACATTGTATGATTTTTAAGTAATTAATTTGCATTTTATTGCATGACATAAGTATTTGATCACCTACCAACCAGTAAGAATTCCGGCTCTCACAGACCTGTTAGTTTTTCTTTAAGAAGCCCTCCTGTTCTCCACTCATTACCTGTATTAACTGCACCTGTTTGAACTCGTTACCTGTATAAAAGACACCTGTCCACACACTCAATCAAACAGACTCCAACCTCTCCACAATGGCCAAGACCAGAGAGCTGTGTAAGGACATCAGGGATAAAATTGTAGACCGGCATAAGGCTGGGATGGGCTACAGGACAATAGGCAAGCAGCTTGGTGAGAAGGCAACAACTGTTGGCGCAATTATTAGAAAATGGAAGAAGTTCAAGATGATGGTCAATCACCCTCGGTCTGGGGCTCCATGCAAGATCTCACCTCGTGGGGCATCAATGATCATGAGGAAGGTGAGGGATCAGCCCAGAACTACACGGCAGGACCTGGTCAATGACCTGAAGAGAGCTGGGACCACAGTCTCAAAGAAAACCATTAGTAATACACTACGCCGTCATGGATTAAAATCCTGCAGCACATGCAAGGTCCCCCTGCTCAAGCCAGCGCATGTCCAGGCCTGTCTGAAGTTTGCCAATGACCATCTGGATGATCCAGAGGAGTAATGGGAGAAGGTCATGTGGTCTGATGAGACAAAAATAGAGCTTTTTGGTCTAAACTCCTCTCGCCGTGTTTGGAGGAAGAAGAAGGATGAGTACAACCCCAAGAACACCATCCCAACCGTGAAGCATGGAGGTGGA